TCTCACTATGCAGGTTTCAATTTCTAGAAATCCTTGCAAAGCTTATGGTCCTTTTTAAAATTTTAATAGCCATCCTAGTGGGTGTAAAATGTTATTGCATTGTGTTACGAGTTATATTTCCCTAATGACCATTGAGCATATTTGTATATGCTTCTTGGCCACTTACATCTCATACCTATTTCTTGCTCTGTTAAAATTTCTTCCTTTTTTTTCTGTTCCTCAAATGTGATAACTTCAATATATCTATCTTCACATTTGCTGATATTTTTCTTCCACCTGCTCAGATCTGCTGTTGAGCTCCTCTAATAAAATTTTCATTTCAATTTTTGTACTTTTCAACTCAATTTTTATAAATTTCTTTTTTGTCATTTATATTTCTTTACTGATATTCTCTATTTAGTGAGACATTATTCCTCTCCTTTTTTTAGTTATTTAGACATGGTTTCCATTATATGTTTAGACATATCTAAAATAGCTCATTTAAAGTCTGTTTCTATTAAGTCCAAAACCTGAGCTTCCTAAGGGAAAGTTTCTTTAGATTGTGTGGGTTTTTTTCCTACATATGAGTCACACTTTGCTTCTATGCATGTCTCACAATTTTTGGTTGAAAACTGACACTTTATATAATACAATGTAACAACTCTGAAAATCAGATTTTCCCCCTCCCTACAGCTTGATGTTACTGCTGTTTATAGTAGCAGTTGTTGGTTTGCTTGCTAAATTTTTTGTTCTCGTTCTTTAAAATTGTATATAGTCACTGAAGCTTTTGAGAGTTGCTTAGTGGCTAGTTAATGATTTCACAGAGATTTTTTGAAACACCCGAAACCAACAAGTCCCAGTCTTTGCCAAGTGTTTCTGGATGTGAGGGGCATGTCTCCAGTGCTCCGGCAACGTGTGGCTCTGCCTTCTCCTTCACCTCTTGCTGGCACAGCGCCTCCAGTCTGCCAGGGAAGAAAACGTGCAGCCTTGCCAGGTTCTTCCTGGGCATGTGCACAGCTCTATGCATGCACCTGGTCTTCTGTATTCTGACAAATATTTTGGAATTTTCCAAAGGCCCTATGGACATCGCACTCCCCAGTTTTTTCTTTCAAGATTTTTGCTAGGTTTATGGTTTGCCCCAACTGTTAGCTATTGCTTCAGACAGCAACAAAGTTAAACAGTCTCTTCTAATTTTTTAAAACAAATTCCCCTGGACCCTGGCCAGTGTGGCTCAGTTGGTTGAACATGGTCCAGTGCACCAAAGGGTTGCCAGTTCGATTTCTTATCAGGGCACATACTCAAGTTGCAGGTTCGATCTCTGGTCTGGGTGTGTGTGTGAGGCAACTGATCAATGTTTTTCACATTGATGTTTCTCTCTCTTTCTCCTTCCTCTCTCTTTCTCAAAAAAAAAATCATTTAAAAAGATATTAAAAATAAGTTCCTTGGGAAAAGGCTTTTCATATATGATTCCATGAGCTCTGAGTCATATAAAGTAAAGTCAGCCTTGTAATTGGGTTTTACAGGGAATCACCAGATAGGTCAAATAATGACAATTCTCTGGCAATGAAGCTTTCAAATGTCTCTAACTTCATTTTCCCCTCTCCAGTCTGCCGGCTTTCACTGTGATTGCAGGCTATTAGTTTTCAAGGCTACTGTGGAGCTAGCGAGAGAGAAATGAAACACAGTTCTTACCAAGAGTTGGCCATTTTTATCTTGAAGAAATGCTCCCCAGGTTACTGCTCTGATTAATGTCTACAGTTAAAAAAAAAAAAAGTTGATTTGGACTATTTTTGCCAATTTCCTCATTGTTTTTATAGAGGAGAATAATATGGAGGTCCTTACTCTATCATTTTGCTGGCATCACTCTTAATACGTTTCTTTACCTATAAAGCAATTACATTCATATATACAGGAGGAATTCTTGAGTAGTATATAGACTATATTATTTGGTAGGTTCTTACCACAAGAGTTCTCTAATATAAATGGCATTAATCCATCAATAAAATAGTGATAAGCATGACTCTGAGGGGTTACTAGGTCCCTATGTGTTCCTCATCTGATAACATGTCAAGTTTGCACAGGGCCCATTTATTACTTTGGATTTCATTATTTTGATCCAGTTCACTAAGCCACCAACACTAATTGAAATGACTGAAAATACAGGTACAAAAGTCATGAGTTTAAAATTCCTAGTCCCAACAGCACTGAGAGGAATGAAAGTATTATATGGATAGAAAGATGATATAGATATGGATATGGATATGGATATGGATATGGATATGGATATGGATATGGATATGGATATAGATATAGATATAGATATATATAGATACAGATAGTTATAGATATTTATAACCCAAAACTAACATGTCTGGGGCTACATGAAGGCAATTTAAGACCAAAGGAGAATTCAAATCAGTCTTTTTACTTCCAGCCCAATTCTGCAGAGCAAAGAATGGTAGTGGAGACAGCATTGTTCTTGGTGATAAACTCTCCAAGGCAGCAGGTTTTAGAGAATGGCCTAGCTCTTGTCCTTGAGTATTTATACTAGAAAGCAATCGTCTTCTGATGGGAGAAAGGTACCCACATAGAACAAAAGCATGAAACCTGACACACATTATTAAGATTGTGAAAAAATACTGTTTTGCATTTCAATTTGAGGTTTTCCTTTTTATTTCATGTATTGAAATTACACTGGTTAACTAAATTATACCGGTTTCAGGTGCACAATTCCACAACACATCATCTGCACATTGTATTGTGTGTTCACCACCCCAAGTAAAGTATTGTTCCATCACCATTATTCCCTTTATCCTTCTCCACCCATGCCCCCCCATCCCCCCACGCAATCACCACACTATAGTCTGTGCCCATGATGTTTTGATCTGTTTTTGTTGTTGTTGTTGTTGTTGTTTTTCTCAATCTGTCCACCTTCCCCACCCCCCAAACCTATGTCCCCCGATAGCTGTTAGCCTGCTCTCTATGAGTCTGTCTCTGTTTTGCCTCTTAGTTCCTTTTGTTCATTAGATTCCATATGTGAGTGAAATCACATGGCTTATTTCATTAGCATAATGCTCTCCAGGTCCATCCATGCTGTCATGAAGGGTAGGATTTCCTTCTTTTTATGGCTGAGTAGTATTCCATTGTGTAAGTGTACCACAGTTTGTTTTTCCACCCACTCATCAACTGATGGGCACTTAGGCTGCTTCGGGTGTAAATTATACTGTAATGAACATAGGAGTGCATGTATGCTTTCAAATTAGTGCTTTGGGTTTCTTTTGGATATTTTCCCAGAAGCAGAATTGCTTGGTCATGAGGTATGCTCGAGTAGTAAGGATTCAAGTTTAGGTTGCTGTGTGTTTGTGCCTTTTCCACTGCCCATAAATTTCATGATATCAAAGAATCAAGAATTCACTGATCATACCATCAACTCTATTTATTGCTTTATTGACACATACTTTCTAAATCCATCAGCTATTTAATACACGTGTTTTCAGAAATGTGTTTTAGCTTAACCAAAGTGTTTGCAACTCAGTTTAATGAGTCTTTGAAAGCACAGAGTACTGGATCAACTTTGATGTGTAGAGTTCTCTTTCTCCAGGATGACATTTCTGATCCCATGCCTGGAGACAAAAGAGGGGACAACCTCATGATGTTCCATATTCTAGCACGCGCGTGCACACACACTCACACAAAATTTTTGTTGCTGTTAATCCTCACCAAAGGGTATTTTTTCCATTGATTTTTAAAGAGAGTGGAAGGGCGGGAGGAGGGGAAGAAAAAGTGAGGAGGAGGAGAGAGAAACATTAATGTAAGAGAGACACATCAATTGGTTGCCTCCCACACATGCCCTAAACCGGGGCCTGGGGATCGAACCTGCAACCAGGTAAATGCCCTTGACCAGGAATCGATCCTTATGTGCATGTGGCTGACACTCCAGCCACTGAGACACACTGGCCAGGGCCACACACAAACTTTTTAAATTAAAAGCGGGAAAGGAAAGGAAGACAAAATGGTCATCTTTCCATAGGGAAAAGGAAGTGCTTGGGTAATTTGAAGGATGCAAGTATATCTGAAATCTGTAAAGATGAAAGGTGTCACTTTTTACCCAGTAGCCTTGTAGAATGATTAGATCTTGAGTGTGTCTTGCTTCTTCAAGAGGTCTCTAGAATACAGCTTCCAGAAAAAACTGAAAGTTTTTCATGAAGGAGGTGTAGTTCCCTCCAGGGGTTTCCTTCAACACACTAGTAGATTGCTACAAATGTTAGTGTTCACAAACTTTTTGATGTAACCTCTAAATCTTTCTGGGTTCCTTTTATAAATTTTGATGTAAGACATGAGGTATCTTTTGTCAACCTTCAAGACTAGATGGGATTTCTAGAGTTTATTCAAGGGTTCTCTCTGATACCTCCATGATCAGAGAAAATAAAGAGTGCATTTAGGGTTAAAATTCAGGAAACTAATAATGCTTTGTCTAAGACCTATCTTGTTGTCCAGTCATTTGTCCAAAGACGTGAGGTGTGTGTCATGGAGAACCACTAGGAAGGCAAATTGTGAGTTGACTTCTTTAGACCTTCCAGAGAGAGAAAGAACAACAGGGGTATTTAAAATAGTGTATAATTATTTGCGAATCTGCCTTAAGGCAAAAGAGCACCAAGATTTTTCACTAGGTCTGCGTGCCAGAGGAATACCTCTTTGCTAATTGAATACTTCCTAAGGGGATTATTTTTATCTTTACATCATTCCCAAATTGATGATTTTGAGATTTTTGCCTAATGTTTTCCTTAATATTTAAACCATTAGCCAGAGAGAGTGTCATTATCCCATGTAGTAGAGAATAGAAATTGTTTCCATTTACAGCTGAAAGGGAGGTCAGAGTTGGGTGGATCGTCTATTCCAGTCCCAGGTGGAGGCTTCTTCATGTAAGCAATGATCAGTGCTACAGTTGGCTGCCGTTCTAAACTCTTCTCGTCGGCTTCGAGGCAAAGCTGGCTCTCCTCCCAAAGCCGAATGGAGGCCAGTGGTCCTGGTTAGTCTCTCAGGGGACAACTTCGCGTTTCCCAACAATGAGAAATTCTTTTGGGTAAAACAGACCCAAAGAGTTATCTGTTTTCACGTTCTGTCTCTTATTTGTGTTTGGAATCTAATCATATAGTTTTCTCTAATTCATACATACAATCCCATTCCTACTCCACTTTATTCTCTCGATACTTAATAATAAACCTGTTCTTAGGCCCTCTCCTACATATATCAGTACACACACTCACACACATGTGCATGTGTGCATACACATACTGTAAGCACAAGTGTGCACAAACAAAATTATTGGTCGCATATGTTAGTCAAATGTCCCAAGAAGTCTACAATCAAAAGAGAAGATATTCTCACATGCTTACATCCCAACATTAGTTTAAAAAGATGATTTTTGAGCGCTTGAATTAAAAAAAAGTGTTAGTCAAACTCCTAAGAAAAACAACAAAAACCTTGACATAGTTTGTGTTTTTTATAAACTTTATAGGCTCATATCCAGTACTAGTGAAACAATTTACTTATAGTTTTATGACTTCTACACCCTAAATTGGTCTCTGCTAAGCTAACTAGAATATAAAGAATGTTCTGTCAAACTAGGATGCACCTTTTGTTTTACTCCTGTGGAATTCCTACACTTTAAACATATATATATTGATTTCAGAGAAGAAGGGAGAAGGAGAGATAGAAATATCAATGATGAGAGAGAATCATTGATGGGCTGCCTCCTGCACGCCAC